TGCCTGGTCCACAGGAGGGGTTCAATGCTTGCTGTGATCAAGAGTGGACGATGTGCCTGGGCCTCCGTCTGCATCCTGAGCTCTTGGAGAGTTCTGGGTCCTGTGGAAGAGAGCCCAGGCCGTGGGCTCCTGGGAGACTCAGGGTTTAGTGGCTTCAACTCTGCATCTCACTCACCCTCAGTTGACCTGTTTTAGAGTGGAAACAGTGACTTTCTTAACTCACAGAGCTGTAGTTAGAGTTGCATGAGATGAGGTGGCTGACAGCTCTGTTTGGAGTTAAAAGTGCCATCCATATGCTGTGGATCATTACCTTGTCTCTCCTGGGATGTCACTCCCCACCCACCTCACGCTAATATGGGCAATGGATACCTCCACATAATGACAAACACAGGCAGTGGTGTGCTGTAAACTGGCTCTTCTGAGGGGAAAAAAATGTCCTGATTTATATAGCATTTGCTAATTTCCATGGTGCAAACACTCCCACCATGACTGATTTTGAGCTACCAATGGTTTAATAACCCACCACAACATCCTAAATATTAAACAAGTGGCCCTCTACGCAGCCAGTAACCTCACATCGCTGGCAGGGGCAGGAAACGAGGCCCCAGGGTGAGGGGAACTTGGGGACTCCTGTTCTCCTTCATTCCACCTGGAGCTAGCTCCGCCCACATCCCACCCTTCCTTCCCAACACTCCTCTGGGGGTTGGAAGCTAGAAGCCTCCATAGAGCGTAGGGTGTGGGGTTTACTGCTCGTCAGTGGGTAGTGCTTAGCTTGGGCCAGTCCTTGAGCTGGTAAAGGGTCACGGTGTGAATTTCAGGTGTGGAGAGGGAGTGTGGGAAGACAGGTAGCCTTCCTCACCTGTCTGTTAAACATCAGCTCCTGCCATTATATGGAGGTTTTTACCACAGCCACCTTCTCTGTAGTCCTTATATTCATGCCATCTACCGTCTCAGCATTTGGAAACCTGTACCCCACCTCTATGCAGACTCTTCAAGATCTTGCCCAGCTCCTGGCCCATCAGAGATGCCCCATCAACTGAAGTTGAATAAATGGGTCCAGGCACACAGGTTCTGAGCGGCCCAGCAGAGCTAGCCCTGGCCCTCACTGTTTTTCAGACTTGACACGTTGCAAGCAGGATCCTTCACACATCTCCTGTCCCCTCTCCTCCTCATTCATTCACTCATTCATTCAGCCAATAGTGATACTCAAGTACCTATCACATGCACAGAGCTAGCTGGCCAGAGGACTTGAGGATGGCGCTGAGGCTCTTCACTTGGTCGGTTTGGTGCAAAGTGGTAGGACTGTGAGAGAAAGTGCAGGACTGGAGGGAGTGCCTGAGCACCATTTTAGATGCATTGAATTTAGGTGCCTACAGGAGAGCTGCGCAAGGGGCAGATAGACACCTGGTATGGAGCTCAGGATGGTGGAGGTGACTTTGTGAATCCTTCCAACAAGAGTTCCAGGCCAGAAAACTCAGAGTGAACTTTTGTTGTCCTTCATGCTCAGGTACTTGGTCACTGGTCACTGGTCACTGAGTCCATGCTCCCAAGCGTTTGCTTGGCTGTTTCTTCTCCCTGAATACTCACCCTGTGGAAACCCTACCCCTTTCTTCAGGTGCTCAGGTCAGATGCTCTTCTTCAAATGCTTCTGGAGCC